CTCTCTCTCTCTCTCTCTCTCTCTCTCTCTCTCTCTCTCTCTCTGCGACTTTCAAATCGCAAAGTGGGAATGAATCTTCCTGCGAAAGTTGGAAGATTCATTCTTGCTTTGCCTTTCGGAAGCCTTCCTACAGCAGGCAGCGGGAGTGAACCATTTATTTTTCTTATTTCTTTGTTTTTTTTCTTTGTTTTCTTCCCATTTTTTTCGTCTGTCTCACATGGACGTTCGGGATGCCTGCGCCCGGTAGTCTGAGCCTCGGCACGGGTCGGCGTACCGGTCGGCCGAGGCTCGGACTTGATAGCTGAGCGAGGTACTGGTGGTTTAATATTGGCCTTGAGGGAAGGCCGACTCTGCCCCTTACTCCTTTACTTCTCTTCTCCACTCGCTTTTACCCCTCCTATCCACCTCTTCACCCATTCTCCCTCTCGTGTCCAGGCTGAGCATCTGTCTTCCATACCCACAGCTTCTGCCATCACCGCTATGCCCTCGTGCGTCAGCGTTTTGATAGCGCCATTGACTCCACTCTTTTGGTTTTTTTTTGGGCTCTGAGAAATCGAACTTAAAATCTGAAATTCAGATATCGTGGTGGATCTGACAGGAACGCTTCCGCGTCTGTCGGATGGCCTGGTAGAGGCATCATGAGATACACGGTGCTGAATGTATCCCCGTACCCGTTACTTGTCCTAGCCCCTGGGGCCTCGTCCCTTCTTCTTCTTTTTTTTGTTTCCTTTTTTTGTACAAAGAACACGCCCCCGCCAGTGTTAGTGCTGCTGCTAAGAGCAGACACCACTAACACCTAGGGAGAGGCTCCATCTAGTGGTGGGGAGCATCACCTGCTGGAAAACGGGTCCAGCGTCCCATATTACAGAGGTAAATGTCTGAGAATGTCTGAGAATGTCTGAGGAATGTTTTAGGGGGCCTGAGCATGTCTGAGAATGAAATGCCCAAGAAAGGCAAGGAAGATGAGGACTGTGACTGTGGGTCCTGCCAGCATTGATTGCCCTACAAAACAGGGGATTGACTGAGCAGGCCTGCCTCGTCCCACTTGTGAGGTATTCTACTTCGTCGTTGACGTTTTCGATCATGTGCGGCTGGGGGCAACAGACGCAAACCGCACATCTCACTTTGCATCTACGGGCCCGCCTGATGCAGTATACAGTGGTGCCCATGATGAAGCACTGACCAATGAAGTGGCCGGTACTGGATTTTTTTTTTTGATATTGAACATTGTCGTTGGTCAGGATTTCCAGACTTTTGGAGGGGAGGGGGGGGGGGGCATTTTCGAGACTTCGCGCGTTGCTGTTTACGCATTGCCGAACTGCCAAAAAAAGAAAAAAATTGTGGGTAGTTACTATCGTTCTGTCAGACATGGCTGTTTTATTGTGGTCGGGAACGTGTGAATAATACTGCACATGCATTTGGACTCTTCCTTGGCACAGTTCATTCATTTTTTTGACTTGTCAGATCTGTAGGCCCTCGCTCCACTGCTTTCGAGAAAAGTGATTGGCAAAAATCGTGTTCGTGCATTTTGCTTGATTCAAAACCCATTAAAAAATGCAAAAATGCTGTCACACATCGTAGAATACTTGGCTAGTGGGGCGAGGCTCCTGTCCATCTGTTCCTTTTTTGTTTTTCCCAATCTTTTCTTTTTTATTTGGAGGTCTGACCTTTTTTCCTTTTTCTTTACTCAAGGGTGGGCGACTTCGTTGCAATTAGAAATCTCAGAGCATACTCACACGAGGACCTTTTCAACTGTCTTTTTTTTTTTTAAAGGCCCAGGTTGTTGCAGAGGTGGGATACTAGACAGATGGCAGTCACCCACAGTACTCTACCACTCGGTTGTCCAGATGAACCTCTCTGAAGACCCCACCCACCTTTCCTCTTTGTGCACTCAGTTTACGGTCAGGTGAATCCAGCACTCAGTTTACAGTCAGGTGATTTCATCCTGGCCTGGTGGTGTGAAATGGTCAGATACCTCCAGGGAAGTCGCAGTGTGAGTATGCCCTCAAAATCTCCTTGTGCAACGGAGAGAGGTGCAGAAAGGTACAAACACAGTTGTCTTCATTATTTCGGGAGGCTGATACGACTCGCCCGAGCGCGAATCGGCACAAACAGTTGTCTTCCATCTGCTAATAACAAAATCCTTCACCCTCCTATGGTCCTGTTTTACCTTATGGAAGTTTTCGCTTCGAAAAAAGTAGGAAAAAAAAAAAATGCACCCATGTAGAGCAAGTTTGCTCAATCTGTGCCAGGCTGGCTAGACGTAGAGTACCATTCCACAACCACCCCCCCCACCTCTTCTTCTTCTCTCTCTCTCTCTCTCTCTCTCTCTCTCTCTCTCTCTCTCTCTCTCTCT